TAAAATGTTAAACTGCTTTTATTCTAGCCCAAATAAGACAAATAAGAAAAGTTTAGAAGAAAACATATTATAGGAAAAACTGTGAGAAATCCTTTTCTCTATTAAATATCATTTGGAAAATAAAAAAATATATAAATAAAAAAAGTCACAGGAGAGCTCATAATTTTGACTTAAACTAAATATGAGCATGCTAAGAGCTCTACTAGCAAAGCCTGTCATGTTCGTATTCCAAAAAAATATAAGGTCTTTGTCTTTGAAAGCTTTTGTGTAGAAATACAGAGCTTGCCTGCATGCTATGAGTAATAGTCTTGAGTGGCTGGTGGTCCGAATACATTACTTCCAATTTTCATACTATTACACAAAAAGCTATTCTTCAGTCCAAAAAAAAAGAAACATGTGATTTGGCCCTCAGTTTGTGAGATGTTTTGTGTTCGACTTGTGTAGTGCAACTGTGAATATGCCAGCCACTTCATTTAAGACTCCAATTACAGGGCATTCTGCTATCCGCTTCTGCATGCTGTCTTAGCTTTTCTCTTTTCCAAAACTCTGACAGCCAGTTTCAGCTGGCTTCACACTCTTTCCTGCTACATTTCATGTACTGCTGTCTGCACATCCAGTTCACAAATCAGCCAACATTTTCAGTGTCACAGATTAAGCGCTTTGCATTGACTGTACTGAATGCATTGGCTAGCTTAATGCGCTGTACTTCAAAAAGTGAAATAATGTTTAAATGGATGAGCTTCATCAAAAGAAATGAATCAGCTTCATCAAGAGCCTTTCCAGGCGGACGCAGGAGGAATCTTCCAAAACCTCCATTAAGGTAATACACCTAAGTCAGAATTTAATCCACTTAAATGTGGAGTAATTAGACTGAATAATTAAAAAGATTAATAAATAATTGGAACAGCCCTTCAAATGTATAATCTTCCAGACTGCATCTTAAGTGGAGTGGAGCCCTTCAAGCGTTTTCTTATTCAGGTAATATGAAAAACAGAAGACTACCTCATGCATTTGCTTAAGGTTTGAAAATGCTAAAGTTTCAAAGAGCACTGCAATTACCTTTGTTTAGTGTACTGAATTTTGCAGAAAATAAGCTGCACTGCCAAAAATAAATAAACAAATATATAAATATATAAATAAAATAAACCAAGATTCATGAGAAAATGTTTTTAAAAAAGGACACAACTTAAAATAAATATCTAAAAATAAAATACATGGTAAAAATATTCAAATAAATAAATAAATGGTAACAATATAAATAAGTATACAATAAAGTGAGAAGGAAATATTATAATGCATAGAAATATATAAAGTACAAATTTCCTTCTATGCCTGTTTAAAATGTTCATTTATCATAGATGAAAATTAAAACTTAAAAAAAAATGCATATATCTGTATTTTGTATATATATTTTAAGGCAATAACATTAAGTGCTTCTGTTACAGACAGCAACTAAGACAGCTCATAAATATCTAAATAAAAAAAAATAAAAATAAATCCATGAATACATAATAAAATAAAGGCATAAATAAATAAATCAAAATAAAAACAAAATGAAAAAAAATATCCAAATAAATGCATAAATAAAAAATAAATAAATAAAAATAAAAGTAAAACAAAACAAAAACTCAAATAAAATAAATGCATAAATAAAAAAATAACAATATAAATGCTTAAATAGATTAATTATTAAATACATTAAAATAAAAAATACATAAACAAATGTTTAAATAAATACATAATACAATAAATCCATGAATAAATGAATAAATAAATAAATAAATAAATAAATAAATAAATAAATAAATAAAATAAGAAATTTAAAAAAAATGAATGCAAAAATAAATATAAATAAAAATACATAAAATAAAGACCTAAAAACTGCATAAATAAATATATACATAATAAAATAAAATCATTAATAAATAAATAAATAAATAAATAAATAAATAAATAAATACATTTAGGAAAATTATAAATAACACAAACTCATAAATAAATGCATTAATATATACTTAATAGAATAAAATAAACACATAAATAAGTAATTAAATACATGGAAAATAAAATAAAATAAATATGTGCATAAATAAATACATAATAAAAACAAAATAAATGCATGAATAAATAAATAAATAAATAAATAAATATGCTGAAATAAAAATTAAATGAAATAAAATAAAACTTAATAAATGTATAAATATATTATTAATATAAATAAAAAACAAATAAAATAAATACCTAATAAAAAATTTAATAAAAATAATTACATAAAATAAATGCATAAATAAAAAAAATACATTGAAATAAAAATAATGAAATAATGAAATAAATTATAATAAATACATAAATAAATTCATATAAACAAACAATAAATAAAATAAATACATAAATAAATAACTAAAATAAATGCAAAATAAAATAAAATGCAACAAATTATAGCACTGTGTTTTAAATTATAATCAATTCAATTTGCCAGTTTACTTCAGTTATACGAACAGATTTGAGGCATGCAGTGTCAATTGACAACTAAAACAATGACTGATCATCTTTTAATCTGTGCATTATCAAAAGCCTGAGAATAACCGCTCAGTTATTTTAGAAGAAAAGGAAACTTAATGTAAAACTATCAACGATAATGCAAAAATGTGCATTAAGAAAGTCAATCTGATGTCTGTGTTGATTTCACATAGCCTCAAACACAAAAGACAAAGACAGAATAGCTGAAGACCCTGTCTTTTATTACAATGCCAACTCAGCGTTGACCTTCGGCAGTAATACAGTCCTCTTCTCTATTAAAGTCTGATTATATTACCGGTATATTACCCTAGCACAAGCCCTTTTGAGCTGACCTGAGATCAGATTTATGCTGGACGTCACCTCACACTGAGACGGAGGAGAGAAATGACATCTCTTTTCACATCTCTGTAGGATCTTGGCATCCTCTGACTAACTCTTGTGCCGTCTTAATTACTGATGACTGCTGGGCAATGGCCAACGCATGATTTACAGCTCGAACTGCAGACTGTTTGCTAGCATGATAATTAATGTGGTTTTATACTGCCTGCTTGAGCACACAATACTGCTGTGTGCAAAACAAACATGCTTTTAGTCCAAACACTGCTGTCATATACTGATGGCTGTCTGAGAAGATAAAAATACACTAGATTGCATTGTATTTAATAGAGACAAAGATTATTCAGTAAGGAACTTGGCATGGATCAATGGTAAAACTTTAGTTTTAGTAACAATTCACACCATTTTTACTGGTTTATTACCTGCCTATTATTATGATGTTAACTGTGTATTAGCACTTATATAAAGTATGATTTTATATTTATATTTATATATCTCCTACCCAATTCTACCCAATACCTAAAGCCAATTACTACCTTACAACTGTTCATTAGCAGGTAATTGTTAGTTTGTTGGGCTTAAATTAGTAAATGGTTTGTTAATGTGAATTGTACTGTATGTTAAAATAAAGTGTGACTGGATTCATAAATAAACTCTATAGTTCAAAATGTCCACAGTCCTCTCAAATCTGCACAAAAGGCCAGTATAATATAATAACAACACATATAGCATATATACAGTCCATTGCCAATAAAAATAAAAAAATAAATGTACTAAATTGTTTTCATGTACACTTATGCCAAAGATTTCCTTCATTTTTTTTCCAAATACATTTTTGTCTTAAGCATTTAAACACGTTTTTTTTTTATAAAAAAATTAAAATATATTATATATACATAAAATATATATTTAAAATTAAATAATAAATAAAAAATAAAATAAAATAAATAATATATATTTTGAATAAAATATTTTAAAATAATTTTAATAATAAATTTAATAAATTTAATAAAATAAAAATATATATAATAAAATACAAAATATAAAACAAAATAAAAATATAATAAAATAAATAATATAATATATTTGAAAATAAAAATAATTATACAAAATGATTACATAAATAAATTATATAAAATAAATTATACATTCAAAATGAAATGATAAATTAAAAAGAAAAATATTGCATTCAGTAAAATATACACATTTGAATAAAATTAAATATAATACAATACACAATAAAATAAAATAATTATACCACTTAATTGTATATTTAAACTATAAAAAACAAATGATGCATTCAAAATAAATGATAAATTAAAAAATATATAATAATAACTCGGAATAATAAACTCGGAATTGCTAAAAAAGTGAATTGTGAGATGGAATAGCAAAAACAGAGAGAATTGCACAATATGAATTTAGAATTGCAAGTAAAAGTGTGAGCTTGTGAAATTGTTTAGTTTGTGAGAGTAACATAGAATTGCAATATAAGTTGCTAAAAAGTGATAATTGTGAGTGAAATAGTTCTTAATGTGATAACTGCAAAAAAAAAGAGCAAAATGGCAAAAACTATTATTTGTGAGAGATACATTTACAATATCAAAAAGTGAGAACTGTGACATACTGTACAAACTCAGAATTGTGAAAGTAAAGTGAGAATGAGAGATTAATTTTTAAAATAGCAGAAACTGTGAAAACCCCAAGATATGAACTCAGAATTGTGGGATTTAAATTCAGAATAGCAATCCAAATTTAGACTTGTGTAATATAAACTCAGATTATGACACAAAGTTTCATATTTTTAATTTACAATTGTAAGAATTGTAAAACAAACTCAAATTATAAATGCATATTATAAGATGTGAACATGACACTGCCGGACATTAATTAATTTTAACACATTAATATTAATTACATTAATATTAACTTTTTACTTTTATATCTTACAATTTTTAATTCATGTCACAAATCCAATGTTTTTTTTTTCTCAAAATTGCTAATCTAAATAAATACAAACTCACTAATGTGAGATTAAAATTGATAATGCATTATTTTATTTGAGCCAGTGCAAAAAACAACTTTAACAAAGCTCCTTTTAAAGGTTAAAAAGGGAAGGACAGAAAAACAGAAAATGTACATACCTTTCATCCGTAAACTCTCTGAGATCCCATCCTGCCGGAACAAGAGAGAGAAAGAGAGAAAAAATAACAATACTTACAAAACATTCAGTATAGTCAGACATCACACACTGGATATTGCACATCTGATTCTGGGTTAAACATTTTTTAAACTGTCTTTACTAAACTTTTCTTAACTCTTTTCTTAAGGATATTTTATACCTTTCTTATGTCACAGTGCCTCAGCAAAGTCTCAATATTACTAGAAAATGTACGTGGCGGAATAATTTGTCGGACTGAGTTAAAGGATTCATCCATTCAGAGCAGCTGGGGTACAGCAGTCTCTCAGCGAGTCTATTTCTAAAGGATAAAGGATGCCATATTCCACCGTTAAAGAGACAAATGGGAAATGTTAATGTTAGCTGTCATTTTGCTACTAAGGAAGATGTATAACTGTACCACTGGATGAAAAATAAACGCAAAAGTGGAACAAAATATTAAACCAGGAGCTAAAGTTGGTCATATTTTACTCAAGTCATCCTGATTTAAAAGATTACACAATTATTTCCATTTGCTATTTTTATGTAACTAAAGTTGATGTGAAATATTTAGGGCTGCAGTAAGACCTGGCGCTTTTCCTAAGAAAACATTTGTGAGAGAATGAAAGGTTTCATAGGAAAATGGTAGTTTTGTAAAAGATTTCAAAATGTTTTGAGAATAAACACACTGTTTCTAATAAAATGCTAAACTTTTGTGAGCGAACAATACTCTTGAATACAAATCATTTACAATACAAAGTTTCTTAAGGGAATGCAATTGTTTCTTTAAAATAAAGCTTTTTTTGTGCAAAATAATGCATATTCTTGGGAAAATGTAATAACTGTGCAAGACTGCTGATATTTTGTGACAGAACAGAGGGTTTTTGGAGGGAAAAGCAGAACCTTTGAAAGAGAATGCATTACTTTTGCTAAAGAATGCAAATTATATATATTTTTCAGGAGAATGCAATAGCTTCGTTAAAGTAGTTGTGGTTGTGGAAGTGTAAAAGGTTTTTGGGTGAATACAATTATTTTGTGAGAGAATGCAACATTTAATAATAATAATAATAATAATAATAATAATAATAATAATAATAATAATAATAATAATAATAATAATAATAATAATAATAATCTAACATTTATCAGGCATTTTTGTTTGGAGTTTGCATGTTCTCTCCATGTTGGTGTGGGTTTCCTCTGGGTGCTCCAGCTTCCCCCACTGTCCAAAAGCATGCACTATAGGTGAATTGGGCAAGCTAAATTGGCTGGTGTGTGTGTGTGTGTATGGGTGTTTCCCAGTGATGGAATGCAGCTTGAAGCGCATCCGCTGTGTAAAACATACGCTGCAAGTTGGCAGTTCATTCTGCTGTGGCGACCCTTGATTAATAAAGGGACTAGCTGAAAATAAAATTAATAAATAAATGTGTGTATATATATATATATATATATATATATATATATTTTTTTTTATATTGTGTATGTAATATTGAAATATTGATATCACATATATTTGAAAGCAAAATGATTAGCTGTAGCCTATTTTTGTTTTCTAAATATTTACATGTTTTTTTTTTTTTACAATATAACTTGCAAAAGACTATTTTATCAGCAAATAAAATATATGTTATGATCATACTAAAAAAAATCACAAGTTATACATTTAGACGTTTAACTACTTTATACATTTAGACTTTGATTCTGATTGGCTGTAGTCATTTTCCTCTTTCCTGTCTTCCAGCATTTGTATTTATTTTCAGCTCTAGGTTAAGCTAACAGCACTTAATGGAGAGGCGGGAATGGAGATAGTAACGGTGCCATCTGATTGATCAGATTTGGATAAACAACCTCTGTACTGCACAGAACATAAACGCTTAGCACATAAAATGAATTCATTGTACTTCCCTGCTATATGGATATAGCATATATTATTATATTACTATTTTGACAATGTGCCCTAATAGACACTCCCCAGCCACTTTATTAGGTACACCTGTCTATCTGCTCGTTAATGCAAATTTCTAATTGTCCATCACATGGCAGCAACTCAATGCATTTAGGCATGTAGACATGATCAAGACGATCTGCTGCAGTTCAAACTGAGCATCAGAATGGGGAAGAAAGGGGATTTAGGTGACTTTGAATGTGAAATGGTTGTTGGTGCCAGACGGGCTGGTCCTAGTATTTCAGAAACTGCTGATCTACAGGGATTTTCAAGCGCAACCATCTCTAGGGTTTACAGAAAATGGTAGGAAAATATCCAGTGAGCGGCAGTTCTGTGGGCACAAATGCCAGAGGCCAGAGGAGAACGGCCAGACTGGTTCAAGCTGTAACAGTAACTCAAATAACCACTCGTTACAAACAAGGTGGTGGATGGGTTACAGCAGCAGAAGACTCAAAAGAAAACAACAACAAAGTCAACAACATGATCCATGTATTTATCCTGCCTTGTTTCAATGGCTCAGGTTGATATTGGTGGTGGTGTAATGGTGTGGGGGATATTATCTTGACACTATTTGGGCCTAATAATACCAATTGAGCATCGTGTCTACACCACAGCCTACCTGAGTATTGTTGCTGACCATGTCCATCCCTTTATGACCACGGTGTACCCATTTTCTGATAACTACTTCCAGCAGGATAACACGCCATGTCATAAAGCGTGAATCATCTCAGACTGGATTCTTAAACATTATAATGAGTTCACTGTACTCAATTGGCTTCCAGTCACCAGACCTTAATCCAATAGAGCAACTTTGGGATGTGGTAGAACAGTAGATTTGCATTATGCATGTGCAGCCGACAAATCTGCAGCAACTGCGTGATGCTATCATGTCAATATGGATCAAAATCTCTAAGGAATATTTCCAGTACCTTGTTGAATTCATGCCATGAAGGATTAAGGCAGTTCTGAATGCAAAATGAGGTCCAACCCGATATCAGTAAGGTGTACCTAATAAAGTGGCCAATATATATATTATAATCTTTTGATTGGATACCGTACAAGCCACTACTATTTATTGACTTGCCTACACTGTATGCTGGGTGCCACACATTTCCTTCCTGTTGTCCCAACACAAATCGATTAGGTGAACTTAACTGTTTTTACAAATATTAGTGAATTGAAGGTAAACAATGAAGCTATATTTTTGGAATGGTCTGAGACTTTTGAATGCATATTTTACCACAATTTTATATTGGGTTATGTTATGTTGGAAGAGTAATAGATTAAAACACATTTGATGTCACCCTACAACACTGTAAAAAATGGCTGTGATTTCAACGGTAAAAAACTGTAAAAATGCTACAGTGCAATTCCGTAACCTGGTTAACGGTATATTTCCTTAATATATACGCCGAATAACCGTAAATTGACTTTCCCAGAATTCCCTGTATGGAACATCACTTTTTATGCATTTGGTTGACATTAATAAGGATCTTTTTAGTTGTTTCCTCATCAGTTATGTAAATTAGAGATTTAAATTACATCTGATGTTGATAAACAATGTTTACTTCATGACTTTAATTTTATGCGTGTTACCATACTGGTGTTTAGTAGCTTTGTGAATGACACTGAGCACCTTCTATATGCTGATACTCTTTTCTGCTTGTGGGAAAAGTTGATTGTGATGAGCATTGGCTCATCATGTAACTTCCTCATCACCACCTGCATGTGGGTGTGCTAACTTGTCTAACTGTGTAACAAAAGATGTGTAGATGTTAATCATTCAAAATACAGACATATTACCTCGATAAATTAATAAAATACGGTAATTTACCATAAAAATGAAAAATCACTTTTATGGTTTTTACCGTGTTTTTAACGGTAAAGTACTAGCAACCACAGCTGGCGTTTTTTTTTTTACCGTAAATTTTACGGATTTATTTTTTACAGTGAACCTGTAGGACCTTTTAAGGTTACATTTTTAAACCGTAATATTGTAGTCTAAATCTAAAGCAATGATATTTAACTGTATATAATTTAAAGGCTGAAATGTTTGATTTTCTATATATGGTGAGGGATTTTTGATAGATATTACTGAGCAACAGTTATTAATATGCAACAAGGATACTTATCAGAGTTGTAAAGCATACTTTGCTACAGCAATCCACATGTAAAATTTTGTTTAGATGTTTTTTAGAGGCTAAATTCAAATTAAATACCACCAAACTTCTAATACTACTTTAGAATTGTATGTTTACTTTACAAATTTTGTCAAAAAATACAGGTAATATTCCTCAAAACATAGGGGGTGACCTTGTGTGGTCATTAATGTTAATTGAATGTCATCTGGTGGTCATGTTTGCTACTGCGGCCAAAGACTGAGAAGTTTTATTTAAAGTTTTCGTTTCAATCTGACATCTAATGTCGTTAAAATCTGACCAGGTTTAAATCTTTGCACCAAAGCAATAAAGATTGACATTCGTTTAAGTTAAACGTAGGTTTTTCATGTCTATGTTCAAAAAGTTGGTGACAGTTAAGGGGTTAATGTTAATTTAGTATGAAGAAGCAGCAAAAAAAAAATCTTTATTTAAGTGTTAACAAGCTAGTTAAGATTTTAAACTGCACTTAAAGTAAAATAATAACTTTGCCTTTAACAAAATGTGTCTTCAACTGTACCAAACTGCTGCTTTGCATTTGAAAGGAATTATAGTGAGTATATGGAAACATATTGTGTCTATAGACAACATTTGGTTGTAAAGTAATGCAGCAAATATACCAGTAATTGGTTCCAGTATATATAGATCAACGGGATCATATGGATACACAGTGATTATTTATATCTGACGAATAATTGGTGAGGAAATTCTAGCGATTACTATAAGGCAGACAATGACAAGCTTTCCGTTTTCGAAGGATTTTAGAGCCATTTGTCGAAATCTATCCAAGAGCAAACTTGCCGCAAGCCTCTTCCCATTCCTGTGCCAGATACAGCACTTTCATAACCTGAACATAAACACCTTCAATTATGCACTTACAGTGTATTACTCATAGCCTGTGTACAGGAATGGTGTC